TATCAAAGATAATTTGCAGTTTTTAAAAGTGCAAAGTGACGATTAGCATTCAACATCTGCCCAGTGAAGACAGTTTTGGTATATGTAAGTATAAATAGTTATATCTTTTCAGTTTCCAGATACATTTCTAAAATGTTGAAGCCACCACTGTCCATATGAGCCACACATGAATTTCTAAATTTCTTAGTGTCTATGCATAAAAATTAAAAAGTAACAGTTTAAGTTCACTTTAATAATATTTAACCCAATACATGAAAAATCTTACATTTCAACATGAATCTATATTAAAAATTCTTAATGAGATTTTTTTGTACTAAGTACTTGAAAACCAGTGTGTATTTTACTCTAATAACATATCTCAGTTTGAACTAGACACATAATTCAATTGCTCAGTAGTCACATGTGGCTAGTGGCTACCATATCAGATATTGCCTCTATAAATATTTTTCTTTGATGTGGAAAAAATCCAATGGGAATAAATCAGCTTCTAATTCAGAAATAAAAGTTGAGGTTCAAAAAATAAAACAGTTTTTGATGATTCCACCATTTTCTTCTAAGGGGTAGTCCTCTCTAATCTTTGATTTTAAATGTCATGGGTATCAAACAACAGTTGCCCTCCAAGTTGAGTTTGATAATTTTGGACAAGGGTAATTTGTCTTTAATACATGCAAATCCACTGTAATTTTTTTCTTTATAGTACTGTTCTTTTAATTAATATTAAAAAGAGTTCACAATTACTAAAAGCATAGATTGCTGACCAATTTAGCAAATATTTTGTATTATTAAAACAATACAGCTCTATGAAGTAAAATGTCAAAGTTTTAATTTCAAAGACAATCTAGAATCACCATGTAGTTATGGAAGAAATGTTTAGATCTCTAGCAAAAACTAACTTGTCAAAACCAACCAACCAAACATCACCAAATACTGTCAGCTGTCTATGATTATTTTACTAGAATTTACGAAAGTAAAGACAAGAACTGGAGAAGGAAGTAAGTTTGTACTTTTTTTTTAATTAGGGAAAAAGAATTGAAACAGTTAATACTAAACTATATGAAGCGTTATTTATTATGTGTTCTTTAAGTCAACAACTAAACATATACAACATTATCTAACCCTTAAAATTTCTCTCATTCTTATTTTTCTTATCTACAATTTTGTTTGCATTTGCCAAGGTGACAAAGTAGCTGAGGAACAGCATACATAATAAGATGATGGATTATGTCACAGTTACTTGTTACATTACTAGCCACACTTCTCTGAGGCTCAGTTTCCTTCTCTGAAAGAAGGAGGATCATATTCTTTAATTAAGCATTTATTTGATGTACATAACTTGAATCTTTACTAGGTGCCTCTTAACATTTGATTAAGGCTTAAAGCTAATTTCGAAGTGTCCCACCCTGGCTCCATTTTTTAACTTATGCTTCTTTCTAAAAATCAGGAGGCCTTACCCATTATCTTTATCTATATTTGAAATAAACAAAAGGAAAAAAAACAGACACTTGGTCCTGATACAGGGCTAGATGCTATTTGGTATGAAGATTTCATGAGAAAATGCAATGGAAAACTCTTTTAGACACAGTGTTGTGCAAATGTGAGGATTATTTTTGTGAAAAATGTGTTCTACCATTTGGAGACCAAGAAAATGTGTTTACTCTTCTGCCTTTATCCTTAGTTTGCCTTCCATCAGGCATCCTGAACCAGGAAGCAACGTGTATATTTCACAAAAAGAGTGAGAAAGTGATTCCATCTTCCCTGGGTGAGTTTTATGTTGTGCAGAGGCTAACACTATACAAGTTGGTTGTACCACATGTCTGTTCAAGCTGATCAGTGTTAAGGGCTGATTATACCAAAATTTCTTGTTGCTGAAATAACATGTCGGTTTCTGCCTTTCTGGGAAAAAAATGTATGCAGGGAATTATAGTATCCCCTTTAAAGCAAAAGTGAAATTCCTTTTTGGAAAGAGAAATTGATCAGCTTGGAAGGGAGGGCTCAACTATGTTCTTTATGAAGTCGTGTTTATTTGCAAAGCTTGTTATTAATGCTACGGAGAGAACAAGGGGAAGCCTGAGCACTCATCTGTATATGTTTACAGTATCGAGTCAATTTGCATTAATAAAGATTTAAAACTAGCAAATTAATTTGCGAGGTGACTTGTTTGAGTGAAGGCCTTTAAACGCCCTCGGGAGAGCTATTTTGAAATCACTAAACACAAGGCACTGTATTTAGAACATGCGTTGTGTCTCTGAAAATCTCAGCAGCTATAATGGGCCAATTTCTAAAGTGAGGGCTGCCTCCTTGTGGAATTCCATTGTGAAGAGAAGTGAGAAGGTCCCTGAGTGACAAGGGCATAGCATCAGAGGTAGATCAAAGAGCAGTTTTAACATAGTCTTCATGGTCAGGTCAAAGATCCCTTCATTTATTCTTTCAAGAAATATTTAATATGCATCTATCTTTGTGCTGGTCCATATGCTAGACTCTGGGAAGACAGTAGAGCAAAACAGATCATGTCCTATCCCCACGTAATTTGCATTCTGATAGGTTTTCAAATGAATTAAAAAAAAATTCTGTAGTGAGAATTACACAGAAGGAAATCCACAAGTGGTGTAATAGAGTAACGAGGGAGATTTTACCCCTCGTTAACTACCTTTTTTTTTATTGTGTTAAAAACATGACATATACCTTCTTAACAAAATTTCAAGTATGTAATAATACAGTATTGTTAACTATAGGCACAATGCTGTACAGCAGATTTCTAGAACTTATTCATCTTTCATAAATGAAAATTCCTACCCACTGAATAGCAACTCTGCCTCCCCCTCCCCCTAACCCCTAGAAACCACCCTCTCCTCTCTGTTTCTATGAGTCCCTGACTTTTTTTTTTTAGTAGGCAGTCATCCTGTTTAGGTTAGGTGTGCAGGCCCTGGTCTACTTAGTGGTCTGTGGTTCCAATGACACTTTAGTTTCAGAGCCTTTGTGGTACTGTTTTGGTCTGCTTGGTTTAACTGGTGCTACTGGTCCCTGCTGGTGCTTTCTGAGGGGGCAGAGAAGCTTCCCCAGGCTGGGCCATCTGTGTAGCTTTCCTTCATCACTTACTGTCAGTGCGATGCCCGATCCATCCCCTTAGCCAGTGCTGCTCGATTTATCTGGCTTGCTGGTGAGATCTGGTTCAATCTGAGGCAAGAATGAGCCTATCTGGGCTGCATTCTTCTTCTTCTTCTTTTTTTTATAAATGAGTCTGACTTTTTAAAAGATAGTTCACAGAAGTGTAAACATAGAGTATTTGTCCTTCTGTGACTGACTGATTTCACTGGAGGCTTTATGTTTTCGTAGGATTCGTCAATTAAGGTTTTGCTGAAGAAATTGGAGTGTTATTAAGAAATCAGGCCACCGAATGAGAAGCCTGGGAACAGTTTTACCATCAGAGGTCCCACAACCTCACTGAGGCTGGAAAGAACTTCATGCATTTGACAATCGGATGACAGATGATCATTTTAGTCCATGTCTTGAAGTTTGAAATTTTAATGTGATTTGTCTGCAGAAACCAAAGTTATAGGTATTTTTCCTCCTTTAGAGCAGTTCCCTCAAAAGGATGTTCATTTAGTCCACTGATACCACTTAGAGAATACTTGGGAAATCTTTTATTGTTATTCCAGTTTATGAGCTTATTTTATGTGTTTATAATCTTATTGCATCTTCAAGCAAAGAAAAACCTCTTCACATTTTGATTAACTACACTATTAATCCATATGCTAGAGCAGGCTTTTTACTGTTTCCCAAGGTTACTTGTGGTCATTAGAGAGTGTGTTCTTAGAATAGGGCACGGGACTCAAAAGGACTCAAAAAATCTTACACTGATCCCTATCACAATCAGCTTTCTCATCTGTTCAGTGGAGGTTTACACCGTATGGACCGTCAGCGGTCTTTCATGACTAATGTTCTAAGTTTCTAAAGCTCCTAAGAACATCCTCTGGGCGGACAATTGTCTACCCTTCACTAATCATGTAGAGGAAACTTGAAAATTTCCAAAAAAAGTTTAAACATGCTTTGAGAGAAATACTGGAATAAGTATATACCAACAAATGGGATACTTAAGAAAAAGGGCAAACTTGGATATACTCATTCTGGAGTTTTATATTTTTAAGGCCTTTATCTTATTATATTATTCATTAATTTTTTTATATGAAAAATTTTTATTACACACAGGCACGAAGGAGGAGAATCTTGAGGACTCCAGTATTTACTGCAACTTCCTTGCTGCAACTCTTATTCTGAATATAATAGAATGTGCTCATAATTACTCCCCCTTCTTTAAAAAGAAAACAGCAAGTTCTGCTTCTATTATTATAAGCATTAGAGGCTTAGATAAAGGATGCTTTAAAAAAAACACACCCAAATACAACAACTGACAGTCTGTGACAATCTAATTGCATTTCTGCCACCCCAGAGAAGCTATTTGTTGTCACTAATAATGATGCCGTAAATTAACAATCAACTGGAAAGAGACAGTTTTAAATCCCAACCTCTTCACAATTTAAAGCAGGTCTTTGGGACTAAACACATTACCAGGACAGCTCAGTATTCTTAGAAAGTAAATGTGTCTCTCCTTCTCATTTTGTACTACATGCTATAATCAAAAGGGGAATTGCAAGACCTCCTAAGAAACACTAACAGTGGGGAAGTGATGGGTGCCATTATCTGCACGTTTTCCTTGTTGGTGACAGGCCCCTCCGCCTCAGAGAGCCTGGGAAGAGTTACGAATGGAGCAACTCAGAAATCACTCCCTTATGTCTTTTAAGTGATGTGCTGCAGGGCAGCAATTAAAAACATGGACTTTTGAAGACATATTGGTTTGATTCCAGTTGTTCACTTTCTAGAGCTGCAGGGTTCAATGGAGAACCAGTAGTTATGTGTGGTTATTTCAAGTTAAATTAATTAAAATTAAATAAAAACTGTAAAGTACGTTCCACAGTCATGTTAGTCACAGTTCAAGGGTTTAAATATAGAATCTATCCTTCGTGCCAGAAAGTGCTACTGACTAATGCTATTCCACAGCGATCATTTTTTATTTTTTATTTGTAATTAAACTCTTCCTCATCGTCCATCTGTGCTAGAGCAATAGCCTCTCTCCTTTCTCTTTTGCCCCTGTGATTTCTTCTTTGCTCAGAAATCACTGACATCATTTGAAAACTTAAGTCAGATGATACCATCCTCTTCCACAGTTTTGCTTTATATGAGAATACAAGCCAAGCTCATTACTATAGACTACAAATGTGTATAGCATTGTTATATACATACATATCTTTCTTACATTATACCCTACCACTCCACATCCTACAACTCCGTATCTCCCACCCCCTCCCCACCATCCCTTATGTCTTTCAGGCCACAGTGACTTCTTTCTGGTCTTTGAATGCTCCGAGCATGCTATTTGCCTACATATTACCCTCACTAGAAATGGTCTTCCCCTTTATTGCCATATGATTTACCACTTCTGTTCAATCAAATTTCAAATTAAGGTTAATCCCCCTGGAAGACCTTGCATGACACTTGCTTATATTCTATCATCTTCGTTTTTTAAAGTTACCTGCTAATTTAGATTATTCACCTACTTCTTATTTACTGTTTATCTTTATCTGCTATAATATCATATCCATAAAGCAGGGTTCTTGTATCTTCTATTCTATGCTGAACTCTTGTTTGCTAGCCAATTGTCTGACACAGATGAATGCTCAATAAATAATCTTAAATGATCAATGTGAAATACAGAATACCACTCTGAGCCCCTGAAAATTTTAGGTGCATTAGATTATGTAATTCTCATAATTTCCTTCTGAAAGAGGTAATAATAATAATACCTCTTTGTCCAGATGAAGAAAGTGATTAGGCAACATTTAGCATTCTTTACATGTTTAATAAATGGTAGCACACACTGATTTCTCTGGAATCCCTAGCTAATGCAGCGGGTGCAAACTCTGTGAAACGTAAAATCTGGTAATTGCTACGGAAGCAGAAGTGAAGTGAATGAACATCAGGAACCTGGTCAATAGCGCCTTAACATGAATTACCCACTCTTAGCATCTACCTTATCTGTCTAATGTCTAAATTATATCTACATGATTCCTCATGTCACATACTTACCCCAGATGTTACCTGAACTGAACAGTCCAAGCCCAGCCACATTGATAATGGAGCTTATTCATAACAGAAAGTTGAATTTTCAAGGTCCAGATCAGAACTCTTAAGTAAACCACACTATAGGGATAATGGTAAGAGGTGAGATATTGGACCAAATTCTCTAAAGCACTCACTCCTTATAAATGTCTAATCCTCTGTGATTATGCATAGGTGGTCTGATTGGTAAGTTAGGTAAGTAATTCCATCTCTTTGAGTTGTGACAGTTTCATGTGTGTTAGATTGTATACACAACTGTGAGATAACCAAGCACATTAGATAGACTACAAGATATATCTGTTTTCAGTCCCCAAAGTAACCCATGTTTCACTATTTACATTTATGAGACAGCAAGGAGATCCAAATGTTTTATAAAGATATGTCAGAGATTAGATGTATGGATCTGCATAATACAAAGACCCAACCACCCAAGCTCCTGAATGCTTAGTTTTCATTTTCTGTTGATTTTGTGCATGGAGGGGTTGATTTTGCACCATCTCCTTGATTTATTAAACAAGCCATCCTTCCTCAAGGAATGTACATTCTAAAGAGGAAACAAGAAATCCACTGGTCCATCCAACCCTAACAAGAAAGAAGAGGAAAATAAACACATTTGAGGGAACCTGAAGAGGGTCTTTATTATAAGATCACCAAGGCAGAGCCTCATACTTTATGCAATATATAAGGCCCAGAGAAGGACAGCCACAGACAGTAATCCAGTGATGGTGAGAAAACACGTACTGGAGAAGAAATTAAGGGGCTGGTTGAAAAAATATATACATGCAGATTAGTAGATCAAAGGATCGCAGACTAATAGAACATTATATCCAAAAAAGACATGGGTACCAATAAACCAATTTCTACTTAGAACTGAGTCTCAGATAACAGAAGTGATCTGTCCAAACTCAGAAATCTTAAGGTGATAGAAATTCAACCAGATTCATGTCTCATGAATACTAATCCTGAACTTAAAAAAAATTATTAAGCATTGCAACTGTAAAATTAAAAATGAATATATATGAGATAGATTTAAAATGCAGAAAAAATCTTATTTTTTATTTAGGCACAAGAATTTTAAGGAAACTTACTACTTAACTCCAAAAGCAGGACACCAAGACAAGGATAAAATTGACCACAGCATAGACGACATTTTTTGTATAGTGAAGAGGCTGGATTTCTTCCACGTCTTTTAATTTTTAAAATCTCTTTCCCTGATGCTGTACTATCATCAAAAGGAAATAAGATATTTATGTTTTTATTTTTTTATTTTTATTTTTAGTTAGGAGATGTGTTTTTTTAATCATCACATACTCTCTTTCTCAATCTGTCTTTATTTCATGAGTTTATATTTGGCTTAACTCTGCCTGATCCCAAACCCCTCTACCCCTAAACCTCAAACCTACAATCAACTCATCATTTCCTAAATATATTATACACTTTCCCATTTTTCACTTTACTCAGATGAAACTTTCTGCTTGGGTTTTTCATTTTCACTTTATGGTTGAGTTGAGCCTGGGAGGTATGTCAGATTTCAACGTTTAGAGAAGTGAAAGAGAGAGGTATTTTCTGTCCTGGGACACTTAAAATAAGTAACCCCTCCTCTAGCTTTCTCAGTAGTATGGTGACAGTCCTGTTTTGAGTACTTCCTTAACTCATTCAACAGCTGCTGAATGCCTACTGTGTCCTAAACTAATGTTATTAAGCCTTACAGTTACCAATAAACTCTTTCTTTTACTCATAGGAACTTATGAAGGTCAAAGAGCACATCTTACTCACTTTTTTTATTGCCCACACCTACTAACGCCATTCTATAAATATATAAGGGGCTCAATGTATATTAAATAAACAAAAGCATGGTCCATCAGCTTAAAAGTGATTCTTGAGCCAGAAGGAACTCAAAGATAGCACTTGACAGAAAATAAACAACTCAAATCTTCTGCAAACTCTGGCCAAGATACACGCCTCCCTTTCAGAAGTATTGAGTCTGTGTCACATATATGGATAAATCTCAGGCTTCAGGAAAGCTACTCACTGTCTTATATCTCCCCTGGAGGTGTGAGAGACAAATTGATTTGACTCCCTGGCCAAACAGAATCATTCCTGAGGGGTAGGAGGAGCTGAGGATTTTGAGAAGATTTGATTAGCACGAGACTCTCCCCAGGAATAGAAACGGGGAAGAGATGGTATTTGTTAGGCAGTTTATGGATGGATGGGTGGCCAAATAGCTTTATGGGGTAAGAAGACATAGTTCTAAGGCGCCCCTCCCCTTCCCTCAAATAAATTTTCCTATCCATATGACAGGACTGGGCTATTTTCCAGTAACTTGGTTTATCAGACTTGGTGTGTCTTGATTCCTAAATGGAAAAGAAATGCTAAGACTGGAATTTTGTTGAATTTGTTGATGCAGTTATAAATGCAGATGTAGGCTGATACAGCTATTGTCTGATTATCTGTAGAATAGTGACCAGTATACACTGGAGTGCGTCAGATTCACTTGTGGAGTTTTCAGTACAGATATCAACTGAAGCAACTGATACCTGAAGTTCATAAAATGAGCATTGCAAAGGAGCATCTCCTATAGTTACCATGCAAATTCTTGGAAGCCCTTGTAACAAGCATCTATTGAGGTGACTGTAGTTCTCTCTCTTTTTCCCCATTTCTCTCCTAAAATAATATTTGCAACCAAATAAACCCTCTAAAAATAAACAAGTACTTCATCTTTTAGTATTTCATACATTTTTAGAGCATAAACATTGTAATTCATGTTGATTTTTACCCTTTATTATAAAACGGCAGTAAATGCTCTTATATATGCCTTGCATGTGGCAGCCCAACCTCTTCCTACAGTATACATAAACTATATACGTAAACATTTAGTATAGATACTATGCGGTATAATATATAGTATACATATATATGCACAAAAAAGCATATTTAGGTACTTCATTCATTTCCTTTGAAATCTCCAATTTATATGTATATGTAATACATACATATATAGATATAGATAGGTAAATATCTTGCTAAAATCTATCTCTAGACAACCTATGTCTATTGATCTTAATAATTCACTCTTTAATTTTATTTAAAAGAAGTAAAGTTTTTCTTTCATAAGATGGCACATAAAATGTTAACAGACAGCTCCCACCTCTGTATTACATATTTCTACTCTCCTCCAAACTACACATCCCCATTGCACAATGAAAAAAGACTTTAACAAATAAGTTAAACCGCATGAAATTTCTAGTATTTGATGACCATTTTTAACTTACAAAGGCAACAATTTTATATGTTTCAATCTAATATTTATAATATGTGTAACCATTTTTTACATTCAAATACTAAAGGCAGTTTAAATACACTATGATTGCAAGATGCTCATTTTTTGTATAAAAGATTGTCTTAGAGCAATACACTACCACTGAGTAGGCTTAAAAGAATAGTAATATAATGTTTAAAAAGTAGAGAATTAGATTGAAGAAGGAGTTGTTTACACTCTCATCTTTGGAATGGCAGTCTAGAATGCTTAAGAAGAATACAAGTTTATCAGGGAGGCAGAAAAGGAATGACATTCTAGACAAAGTAAATTACACGAAGAAACGAATTGAAGTATAAGGCAAAGGGGTGAGTTCAGCAAACTAAAAGCAGTTTAGTTTTGCTGGAGCATAAAGGTGTATGTGTGTGTGTGTGTGTGTGTGTGTGTGTGTGTGTTTGTGTGTGTGTTTCATTTAGAGCAGCGAAATATGAAGGTGAAGAGATAATCTAGGACCAGATTTTGTAATGTTTTACATGCCATCTTATGGGGCCTTGATTTGATGGGGGCTATACCTTTTTTACTAAGGTAGAGATTTTATCCAACAGGTGTCTTAGAATAGTCTAATTGGCACCTCTTTGGGGTTGGTTAAAGAGTGAAGGAGGAAGAGAAGGAGGAGAAAATCATTAGAGAATTTTTCTATATAATTTACTTTTCTTTGTTTCTTTCTTGGGGGAGAAACATGCAGTGGAAAGAGTAATTGATGGGTTTAAGTAATATGAGAAAGTAAAGTCAGCAGAACTTGATGTGACTGGATATCAGGAAAAAAATGGAAGAGAAGCCCTGTCCCAGTTTGAGTGACTCAGCAAAATGATGCTGTTTCACGCAATAAGGAATTCCCTGGTTGGGGGCATCAAGAGCCACTGGGTTGACAAAGTGATGACATCACAGTCTTTGTTATCAATATTCTGGGATTTTCTTCTTCATATCCTCAACTCTTCCACAAAGGAAATCATATTGGACACAGCCATTCATTTAGATTTGAATCTTACAATTGCAGAGTTAGTAACTATGTCTATTTTGCATGGATAAAAGCAAATTATGTAGTGAAGTTAGGATTTATTTATAGATTTAAACAAGAAATGAATGCTAAAATAATCATTGTTGGGATAATCCTCATTCTTTTGAACCTTATACATTTGTACATGAGGATGACACTGTGACACTGATTTCTTTCTTATTAAGAGAAAAGTAAGACAAAAATAATATTTATTTTTACTTTGGATGTAGAGAATGAGAGGGTTAGGTCAGACTGTTAGAAGGATCACTGCAGATTCTAAAGAATGGAATATAAAAACATTTTAAGATCAAGGAATACTGAGATTTCGGGGAGAGAATTTGGGGAAGAACTAATATTCATTAGTCACCTACTACACAACTTCAACTTCACATAGAAAAACTGACATAAACTAAAAAAATTGCTAAAACTTATATCCATTTTGCATGTTAGAACAGAACTGTAGAAAACCATTTTAAAAGTGTTTTTAGATTTCAAGTGACATTTATTGGGTATGTCTTATGTGTTAAGTGTATTACGTGCCATGGTAAGCAGGCCCTAAAATGGACCAATGGTCCCCTTCTCCAGGGAATTCATGCTCTTTTATCATTTCCTCCCCTTAAGTGGAACCTGGACTCAGTGACACTCACTTGTAATGAATAGAATATGGTGGAAGTGATGGTATGTCACTTTTGAGACTGGGTTCTATATAAAGACCCTTGATCTGTCTAGTGTGCTCTATGCATGCCCATTCTCATTCTTGGGGCCCTTCTTCCTCTCTTGGAATATTCACTCTGGGAGAAGTGTGCAAGCTTGCTGTGAGTAACCAAATGAAGAAACCCACATGATGAGGAACTGGGGTTTCCTTCCAACACTCAGCAAGGAAATAAGTTTTGTCAACAGTCACACAAGTAATGTTGGAAGCAGATTATCTAGTTCCAGTCAAGTCTTCAGATGATTGTATCCATCACCTCAAGAATCACTTATCTAAGCCACTCCTGGATTTCCGACTCTCAGAAACTATGTGAGATAATAAATGTTTGTAGTGGTTTAAGCCACTAATTTTGGAATAATTTGTTGTGCAGTAACAAATCTCTAATACACATAAATTAGTTTATTTTATCCTCATAAATGTTGGGTACAGATATTAACATCCCCATTTTACAGAAATCACTGAGTACTACAGAGGCAAAACTATTACTGAGATCTGAACTCCAAATTCTGTCCATTACACTCGAATGCCTTCTGGGAATTTAGGGCTCTCTAGAACTAACTATGGTAATTCTGATGTTTATGCAACATCTACTTTCTGGGTTTTATTTCTGGCCATTTTCTGATCATTCTTGCAGGGACAATCTAGTTACAGCTAGGTGCTAATGTATTGTACAGCTGCTTCAAGCAACCTGCTGCTTTGGCTGCAGCTGGGAACAACTGACTTTCCCAGCAAGCTCTGATTAGCATTTTGATCTTGACAAGCACTTTTCTCTCTGAATATCAATGCGGGAGTGACTGTTGTCACTACCACACCTTATGGCTTCTACTGTGTGTATATTCTGTGGTTTGCCTTTGCTTACTGAAAGCACACACTCTGCTACTGACACGGTCCAAATATGAGCCATTTCCCTTGATTTTCAGGCATGTGTGACCTTTGAGGGGAAACAATACCATGTAGATTCTGCTTGTTACTGATTTAGAAAATATCTGTGGTTGGAATTGGCATTATTTTATTCCCTTTAATATCCTTGGTACTTAGGATTTATTAGCTTAATACTGACATAACAAAGTATGTGAGGATTGTTTTACTCTGGTCCCTCATTTTTTAAAAATCTATGAGGTGGAAATAGAAACTTGATTGATGATCTAAATTTATCTGACTCACCTCTAAGGTAGAAATAATATCATCACTTATTTTTTCCCTGTGACCTATGAAATGTAGCACTGCACAACACTGTGCCAACATACTGTGAATACTCACTGCATGCTTTATTTTCCTTCCTTCTTTTAAGAGGTGATAAGGAGTGGTCAACCTATTTGTCCCAGGAATGTAGATATCTTTTATAACTTACCTTCTCTCAAGGTCTTAGAAGTCCAAAAAAATAATAATTTCAACGAATGGCAATAGATTCTACTTGGTTATGAAGAGATCCGATTCACCTTTCCATAAATAAGTCTGTTCTACAGCTAAATGAGTCTCACCACAATGTGTATATGAGTTGCAGCATATTGTGTGATTGCTACAGGGGAAGGGGGTTCAGGAAAATTAGTTGAGGGGCTGTGATCCCAAGGCTGCCCTTTAAAACAGACCCCTCTTCTTATTGAGTGGTATAATAGCCGTTATTTATTGAGAACTCACCACATCCCAATTACTTTATCTCTTGTTCTCACACCAGCTCTTCCAGATAATGTACAGGTTCTCAGTCTACAAAATGGAGATGAAGATTTAGATAAATGCCCCAAGGTCATAGACCATCAGTAGTACTTGGGATATAAAACACTGTTGGTTTGTTTCCTTGATCCCCAACACAGAACTCTGTTCTCTATGTTCATTTGGCTGTTAGTAGTAGTAATAACAGCCATCAGAAAGGATGAAGTCATAATGGAAAAAGTAATTTAAAGAAAAATAAAAGAATGAAACAAGGAGGACATATTCCAGTAAAGTGAAGGAATTAATTAATTAATTAATTAAATGTTGTGTTCATGAGTAAATTTGACAGAGGGGTTCCAGAAAAAGTAAACTCTGCTACATAAAGTATAGGTAATAAAAATCATAATCATAAGTACTTACTATGTAGTGAGTATTTTTTCCATTAGGATTATTGTAAGAATTATAAGAGACAATCTATAGTAAGTATTGTCTTTTTGTCTATTCTGTATATGAAACCATCTGAGGTTTGGAGAAGGTAAATAACTTGCCAAAGGCACCCAAAGAGAAAGCAAAGGGATACAGATTTGCCAAGTAGTCAGACTTCTAGGTCACCATCTTCATCTCTCAACAGTACTGTTTTGTGTCAAATGTTGATGTGTCTTACTAAGGAATGTTTTAAGGAAACAATAGTTGGCATAATATTTTATTCCAGGTGGAAACAAAGTCCCCAATAAATCTATAAGTTATGTTATAATTCATAAATTAATATATTTAATAAGTAATAATAATAAATTAATGAGCAACACAAGATAATGCTGGTTCAAGTTGGTTCCCAGGGTAGTCTGCCCCAAAATATGCCTCAATGACTTATTGATTATTTTGAATTAAATGTACTTGAAAAACAGCCAGGGGAGGAAAAATGTTAAAAAAAAAAACCAAAACCTCTGACCTCCCCTTTTTACCTGTGAAAATGGAAAAAAACATCTCCCATATGGAGGTATCCTTCCTATATCAGGAGGAGAGAAAGCATCTTTATCGCCAGAGTTAGGAAATTCAAGGCTAAGAAAGCTGTCTAAACAAATGTTATTACTTCATTAGTCTGCTACCCCAAGCATAAGTCCCTTTGTTTCCTTAAATCTTCATAAATAATTATTTCTTTGCCTAAAAATGACCTATAAACAGTCTGCTTTGATCACTTCAGGGGTCCCATTTCCATGAGACCTCAGTGAATATGAATTCTTTTTTTCTCCTGTTAATCTGCCTTGTGTCAGATTAGACCAGCCAAAGGAACTCATGAGGGGTAGGGAAGAAACTTCCCCTCCCCAATGAAGGTAATTGTTTTTTACTTGGATTTCAATATTTTTTAGTCGAGCTCTATACTAACTTAAATAACTGTATCAGTTAATGGCAATGGAGTACATAGAACATACACTCAGGCTGACAAGAGATGACAAATTGTGGCTTGGAGACATCACATTGGAAGAGGGCCTGCTCTGAATCTTTATGATTATTCTTCTTTGGATGAAGGAAGTATTGGTTAGGTAGCTATACCAATGGCTTCTACTTTAACAGTTATCTAAATTATAGATATTGAGTTATTTTAGCCTTGCAATTGGAATTGCTGTTGGGTTAAGGTTACCATTTCAAGCCAGTATGACACTATAGAAAGTATGCTGGATTTGAAATCAAAAGATATGCTTTTGAATCTTACAATTCAACTTTGATGGTATACATGGTTGCCAGATAATATACAGACTCCTAGTTAAATTTAAACCTTAGATAACATTAGATAGTATTTTTTTATTTACTTCAATGTAAGAATATTCCAAATATGGTATGGGATTTGCTTACAGTAGAAATCACTCATTGTTTACTTAAAATTCAAATTTAAATGGACATCTTTTTTTTTTTTTTTTGCTAAATGCGAGTTTGAGATAGTTTCTGGACTAAATTTTTTTCAACTGAATAATGTAAATAAATGATTATTTCTTGCCTACTCACAGATATGTTGAGAGGATTAAGTAATAGATCAACTTCCACCATTCGTGTCAGTGGCTGTGTCAACAACTTTTGAACTTATTTCAATAAAACTAATATCCCATTATATTAAATAACACAGTAAGTAATCCTTACCCTTGACTATGACATTCTTTATCCTACTGATATAACCTTTCATTTAATTTAGATAAATGTTTCTATGTTGTTTATTTACATATTATTCTTAGATGCATCTAAGTGTGTAAAAGGATAAAAATTAGATTGGAAGGATATTGACCCTTTATGGATGGCAAATGCCAGTGGATCTTAGGGATAATGGTAGTTCAAAATATCTCTACCTTTCAGCAAAGTTCCCTGCACAGAAGGTGATGTGTAGTTATACCAGCGAAAAATCAACTAACAGAGATTGCAGGAGATATCTGTTCAGTAATGTGGATGTTAGTCCAAGCCTATAGACGAAGTGAAAAATAGTGGTTCCTAAAACAGATATGCTGAATTAGTTCAATACTTCTGTTAACATATGGGCAAAAAATCAATCTGAAATCCATAGTCATCCAAACTTAGAAGTGTTAGCAAAACCTAGCATATTACTTACACATTTAGGTGAGAGGGAGCAGATTCAACTCAACTTTGTGTGATGATTCAATTGGTCCATATTTACATAAATAGAACCAATGCATGGTCCAGATGTCAGCAAAATTTGTTAAATGATCTCTGACATAGATTTCTATCTCAACTGTCATTGGAATCCTGGGACTATTTCCAATTCTAATTTCTAACAGTCACAATTAAATCCTTTAAAATTCTATCAGTCTGAACTGTTTTGCATGAACTTTAGATTTAATTTTAAAGATTATTTTTGTGTGTGGAAAAATGCTGAAGTCAATAGACATTTTAAATATTGAAGAGCAGTAAGAGCCAGATTGGTAATAGGAGTTTCCAGTGGACCTTGCAAAAATTTAAATAATTGAATTTTATTCTTCTTTGATCAGTGGCTTCCATGTCTCAAACATGCTTGTCAGCTGAAATTCGTTTTCCAAGTAGGGCAAAAGACCAAAAAAGTGTTATTCATTGCTGGGACCACTTGAACACTTTTCAAGCATATCTGTAAAAATACAGAGTTAATTCAATAATTTATTGAATTTATCATAAAAGTTCAGCAAATCATGCATTGTGTTCAGATCCTGATATATGCTAGATTTCCTGTTTTTAAGAGTCAGCAGCTTTGTAACTATAAGCATTTGAATTTCAAATGATAAATTTATATATACCATAGCCCTAGAATGCATAAAATATAAGAGGGCACCCTTTAGATAAATTTAAAAAGAATTGTGCATTTTGTAATTTGATATACGTAACATAATCCATTATACACCAGGGCTTATATTGTGCCGCAAATGGAAAAGGGAATGCAAACTCTCGTCTGTGCTCAGCACAAGGCAGCACAACAGAGACATGTTTCCTTGAGTTATGAGCTACTACCTCCATTGAATGCAATGATCTTTATCCTCTTTGAAAGGGGTGCATATGTAACACACTGAAGGGCTCTGTGGGCTTAATTACTACGTTAGAGTCTGGCAGAATGAGAAAGAAGAGATGCCAAGGAAAGTGAGAAAAAGAACTCTGTAGTCGTCTCCACAGAGGTGGAGAATCCATAGAAATGTTATTCCACAGCCAGGGCAGAAGGCTGTATCTTCTGTACTTTGGGATCCCTTCTTTCCATGTGTCTCTCTCACCAACCCCATTTACCTACTACCTACTTCTACGCATCTTCACCCAAAGTAATTGCTATCTTACTTGAATTTTCATTGAACTCTCCGTGCGGAGATCCAGTAACAAAGACATGTACAAACGGCTACTGACAACAGGATGCTTTTCAGCTGTTACATATTAAATTTCTCAGGAATGCGGACTACATCTTATTAGCATAGTACTCCAAGTATTTTTAATTTTTATTAGCATAGTACTCCAGTATCTTTCCAATGACTAGAAAAAAAATGGTGGGTGTCAATAATCATGTGACAGCGATGTATGGGGCAACAAATGTGGGGGTTTGAATCTCAGTGAACTACAAAACTTCATGTGGTCAGGTTAACTTGAATTCCCTGTTTCAGTATTCTTGTGTGTAAGAAACGTATGAAAAGGGAGACATTGGGAGGATTAGAGAAAAATAATACAATGAGAGCACATGATACATTTGTCACATGTTAGTATTGTAAGATTTAACTCTCTATCTCCTGCCTCTCTTTTCTCACTTCCACAAATGTTATTGATGTGATTGTTTACATAGACTCCTAACAGCATATAACAATAAACCCAAAATTCATGCTTTGAGAGTTTGAAGCTCTTGATTTTAGGCTATTAGTTCATCTTGGATTAAGTTATGTAATTCCTACTTATTTCATAGATGAATGTGCAGCCCAGGTAAATTAAGAGCTCTATCCATTGCCACATAGTGAGTTAAGAACGAAATGGAATTTAGAACTCTGTCCTCGATACACCACTTATTTTTTCTATATAGATGTTTGTTCTATGAAAAAATCTATATTCTATTCTAGCTCTTATATCAGCTGATCATTAAGCCAAATGCTTGGCATCATGAGTGGCAAAATTGCCCCACATCACTTTGTAAAGTTATAGGTATGTACATGAAAAATTTAACCATTTAAAATGTTTATTGAGGTGCTATGAAAACTCGTAAGTATTCTATATTGAATTTTATAATCAATTAATCACATGGAACAGTCTACATAACTCATCTGTGGTGCAGTACCAAAAACTGAAGTCAAACAAATCAGATAATGTATATAAACACCTAGCACAGTGCTTCACAATTAATAGGTGTTCAATAGTTAATAGCCAGATTGAGTCTTGGCTTTTCTTCCATTCTTGTTAAAAACTGCAATCATCAATCAAGCAATACAAAAAGAAACAAAAGGCAAAATATAAAAAAAAATTATATATCCTAAGAGAAGAGAAACCATCAAGATAAAATTCTTCAGAAGTAGCAGTTGCTGTAACTAAACTGAACTGGAAAGGAAGGGCAGACCCTGACATTCTGTCTGTGCATGCACCAGTAATTCAGTGTCTGTGTGGGGCTAAAACACCATGCAGTCTGTTCCAGGGTTAAGGCGTCCTGGGTGAGGAGGAATACTCCTGTCTCCTTCTGTTTTAGATCACTGGTGGTCTTACTTTATTTTTCTCACTTTGGAAATTCTTGTTCTCACCCACTCCCAAAAGAAGCCCACTAAGCATCAACAGGGAAAGAAATATTTTCCTAAATTCTGGAAGATCTGTATGAAATGAAAGGAATCACACTGCCTACTGATGCTGGAGAGAAGGAAAAAAGCATTTCCACATTAGTACAAGTACATAGTTGATAAAGATAAATCATGAAGAGCAGCCAAATGTAGACAGTTTGCTGTGATAGCATTCAAATCAAAGTCACCATTTGTTGCCCCCAAGATTTGCCAAAATTTCCATCTTCCCCTTCACCTGCATTTGTTTCCCCTATAAATAGATTAGGTTGTAGGAGGTGAGATGATCACCTATTGAAACCGTCAACAGCTTTTTAAAATACATGCAAAAGACACAAGGTTTTCCTTAAGGAGACTGGCATCACAGCTTAGAAGTGCAAAGAGGGCTAGCTGATTAGAGCACCTCATATCTCCCCTTCTATGAAAACAAACAAACAAAAAAAGGGGCCTCTGTTATGAATGTGCTTATTATGCCCTCAGCCAAAGGCACTAAGCATATCTGGGAATTGGCTGCCACAGTGTCCCCATCTGCTGCAGCCGTCACAGGCCAGCCCGCGGAGGCCACTGCCTGGCACGCATCACGTGGGGCTGTCCGCTGGAACCTTCATTGGAACTGTCAGCTGCTAAGACACTCTGCAGTCACCTTTGACCTCTGTCCCTAATCCACCCTGACACATCCCAGGCTGTCGCATTGGATCATTCTATCTCGTTCATTGCACATCATTCGAGCCAACAATCGACATGTTCTTCTCCCCATCTGTGTGTTCCAGTTTAGGCTGGGTCAGGAGAGATGCTACTGTTTCTCTACTTTACTCCTGATCGCTCTCTGACTTTCAGCATTTAACTTTATAAACACTAACTTGCAAAAACCTGAAGTCAAGTGACAGATATATTGGTAAATTCAGGCTTGTGAGAATATTTGTGTGTGTTTATTGGTTTAGCAGGGCACAAGAATGCCCTTTTTAGCATAGTCTACCTCTACTTCATCTAACCACCTTTTCCACCTTTCTGAGCACTACAAATTACTGTTGTTATTATCATTATCTATTCTTCAAGGCTCATTTCCAACGCCACCTGCTTTGAAAAGCTATCCCCAATTGCCCCATAGCAAATGAAGATCAATCATTCCTGTGTCATCTTTAAATACTCTGCATATCTCCTTTATGTAATTCTTCCAAATAAATATAAGGATTTTCTTACTTAGAATATTCTCTATTTCAGACATCTCAC